GGGATGACAGAGTATTGTGTTGCAAAGATATGAGGCCGAAAGATGGAATAAGACAGAATGAAAGACGGAAGCAAAACGGTAATTAGGAGACAACGGGGGCACAAAAGGCAAAACACAAAAAGGGAAAACAAAGAGTTCGCTCAGTGTCTGCACCCAGAGCGTCACATCAATGCAGAACAGCCCACACACACACACACACACACACACACACACACACACACACACACACGAACAAAATAAACAAATTCAATGGATCACAAAATAATTACCGATGGCCCCTAGAGCTCGGTTCCAAATGGAACCATATCTAATTTAGTAAAGGCCTGAAGCATCGATACGTCTGCTGAAGCTGGCTCTGATCTCAGAGGAAGGCTAACGGTAGTGCAGGTAGTACAACATGAAAACAAAGTAATGTCTCTCTCCATATTTCCTTCTTTGTTTGATCAGTTCAGGTCACAGATCTGGACCTTAAACATGGAAATATCCTGATGAGTTCCCCAAAACACTATCTTAGGCTCTTCACACCAGATACTAAGCTCCAGTGTGTGTGTGTGTGTGTATGTGTGTACATGCAAAACTCACGTCTCTCCCAAGAGCTCCCCTAACAAAGACAATCATTTCCATCACCAACTGTTTCGTGTAATTCTATCAACCGACCAACCAACCAAAAGTGTTCGGCGCTTGAATGTCTTGGGTCTCGTCCCAAACTTAAATCAGTCCACTGCGTAGAGTGCCAACTTCCATTAACAATAAAAAGGAAAAAAAAAAAATCTTTGTGAGTCATCATCAGCACTCCTATTCATTTCTTCCAAACCACGTGTCCTGATGTCACTCTGTATCCTCGTCCTCCATTCTGTCCATTAGGGCCCTAACGCCCAACAAATCAGTGCAATTAAGAGAGCATCACTCCAGGCTTTGCAGGTGCGCACTTGTCATTGGATGAACTCTGCCGTCAATTGGCTAAAATTGAAGAAACAAATATCACTTAATTTTCCCTTTCCTCGTTTCCATCCCCTGCTTCTTATTCAGTCTCGAACACACTCGGCGCTTCATTGAAATCGGCTGTTTTCCCTTTGAATCCCTTCGGCTGGTGTCTTGTCACAAAACATATTGACGGGTGTCCCTCGCTGCTAGCTTGGGAGTCAAAGCCCGAAGTGTCCTTGGCCGTCAAAGAGAGTGTTCTTCACGCGGCCTCGTATTGATCGTGTTCCAGAAACTTCAATAAACGTCGCAAGTTGTGACAGAGCTCCGGCCACAGACTGCTCCCACAGTACTGAACTACGGCTAACCAGCAGGGGGGTTCCCACCTGGAGCGCACCGCGTCTAGTCCATCTTTTGAAGGCCATCTTGTTGACGAGGGAGAGGAAGATGTGTTCACCGGAACCCATTTCATTCCTCTCTGTGTCCTTGCCGTGTCCCCAACACGTTCCTTTTTTGTGTATTTATTGCTTGAAACAAAGAAGGAAGAGGAACAACAGAGGAGTTTGAATGTTGTTTCTATGGATACTATCCATCAAGAAGATGTGAGAGTTGAATCGGTTTTTTTCTCCGAGACTCTAAATAGCACTGAATGTGTTGAAAGGGCATTAATTACTGTATTTTATCTGAATAGCAAAAGAGAAGACAACACTGATTGAACATACAGACCACTGACAGTATTACTGACAGTACCACTATGGTTGTTGCTCACTGAGGCTGTAGTCAAGTGTAGCCTTCATCTGAATTCTATTCATTGTAACCGTACAGTAAACACAGTTCAGCATGTTTTTAAGTGCCATTGAGTTCACTTATTTGTCGTGAAAACGGCACCGAGCATCTCTGAGAGTATGTGAGAACATTGATGTATTGAATTCGCCGACTCGTCCGGTTGCATCGCAGCATCCGTGCCGAAAACAATACATGTTGATGATCCTCCAAGAGCACACAGGACATGCTATCGTGTTCTCTTTCGCAACGCAAGTCATTAAGCGCAAGTCAAGGAAATGATTGCAAAAACATACATGAGCGGTTGATTAAGTCTCCGGCTCTCCAGTGATTTGATGTAGTGAATATACGTGGGATGTGGGGGGGGAGGTTTGCTGAGAGACAAGAGTCCATGGTGGATGGGAGACTCCACCGCGCTCCAGCGATATGTAAATGTGACGGCGCTTTGGAAGGCAGAATAAATGTGACACGTTGATTAAAATGTTGGGGCGAGAACAACGTCGCGATGTCTGTGCTTCATATCTAATTAAAAGAGATCATTGTCTACTGGCTGCTCGCTGGCAGTTCAATTCGCCTCGTTTTCACTCCGTTGATGAGCCGAGAGAAGGCACTGCGTAGTTAAGCCACGAGTATATACACGTTTGTCTCGGTTAATCAATGGCAATGACAGGATTCATGAGGGGAGTTTAAACGTTATGGGGGGGTCGTGGAGGGATGAGATCAGAACCACATAAAAACCAGGAGAGAATATTAGAAGTTTCTGTTTGAGACGGATGGAAGCAATGTGTTAAATGAATCCTCAGTCAGTTGGTTAGTGCCACCAAGCGCACTCTGAAGCAGAGACAGGGCCCCACACGTCAAAACGTCATTCTTTATTCGGAGCCCACATCAAGAAAGCTTTCTCATCTCTGGCTACAGTAGAAAATTAAAGTTAATACACTTAAGTTCCGCTTCTCTGGTGACGTTTCTGTGATCTAGGCAAAAGGCAGATAGCTGGCATCTATCCATATTTTGCGGGCTCAAAGTCCCTCGTCTGCAGAGAGGGAGCCACTCATTAAAAAGTGGGGTTTGCACTCCGGTCACACACTAGCAGCAGACGACGGACCCGGCGAGCGGTCACCCGGTCACGAATCCTCGCGGAATGCGCAAATGCCGAGCTAATTAGCAAACTGGCGCGCCTCAAACCGAACGGCCGACAAGGCCAAGAGGTGATGAGCGTCAGTAGCCGGCGACACTCTGTGGCAAAGACACAGTAAGTTACAACCCCACTGGGTGGTCCAAATGAAGAATTCAAAGAGAGGATTATGAACTGTGATCTTTTACGAACTGTGTTACCCAATTACCTGACAACACATTTGTGACTTCTATCTTTTTAATGATTCAAAAAATGAAATTTGTGGATTTTCTTTCCTGGCACCGAATGTTTTGACAAACATTTACATCGCATTAAACTTGCCGGGCTGACAAGACTGTCAGATGCGACTATATTGGTATTTTAAGAGAAAAGAGAAGCGCATTAATCATTTATGGTCACTGTGATTTCTTTGATACGGCAGTCTGCTTTGAAGAACTGGAAAGTTCCTGATGGAAAAAGGGAAAAGGCAATCATGGATATAGGGAACAGCGTAGCAAAGGCACGCACTAGGGTGTGCACTTAGAAATGGAAATTCAATAATGGTGTGAATAATCAATAGATATACTCACACACACACACACACACACACTCTACAGAAAGCAGACGATGGCGAAGTAACCTCGAAAAAAACACTCCTTTCCAGCATCAATACCGCCGATTATCATCCGGTCCTCTATGCTTTGAATCAATACCTCCACACTCACATTAACAGCAGAAGCATCCCCAGCATTCCTGAGCGGGGATTAGAACCATTACATGAATCTGGACTTTCAAAGCGTGTTGACTTACTCCCCATTCTAAGCCTCAGCCACACGTTGACGAGCGGCCGTTTCTGTGCCAAAGCCGGTAACCGGGTGCACCCCCGTGTTTCTCTCGGCTCCAGCATCTGTCTGCTGGTGTGTCATGTGGAAAGGTCAACTTGGTATCTCCACTTCTCAAAGTGTGTGGAGGGGGGGGGGGGGACAACGTACCGAGAGGTTTCTGCACATGTCAAAGATGTGAACTGCAGTGAGGTGCAATAAGAACTGTTACTGTAGTTGAGGGACTAACAAAGATCGCAAGCACATTTTGACCACTACTGAGAAGGTTCCTGCCCCTTTGGGGGTCTTAAGGTGAGATAAGGACTCAGCGTCCTATAAAATTTGACTGTGGGAGCTGTAGGAATTTAAACGATCTCATTGCTGATAGGCGACTCTCTCAGACTGAGTGGGCTAAGCGAAGGAGGTGAAAGAGTGTGTGGGAGTTGTGAGGGGGGAAAAGAAAGCGAGATAATGAGATGGAGAAGGAAATTGCATGGAGCAAGAGGGGTATGCACAATGTATGTGTTGGGAAATTGAGAGACTGCAATACAGAGACGGCAAGGAATGATGCTGAAGGGAAATTGGAGAGAAGGGAGGCGAAAGAACAAGCAAGAGATGAGAGACATGGCAGGAGGGAGAGGGATGGACGAGGGCCTTTCATATTGATACAATCGGTCAGGAAATAATAACACGAGTGAGTGAATAAGAAAACCTCATTTCACGTAATGAGTATTCTAATCAAGAGATTACGTTATCTCACATCGCAGAGACAGGGGAGAGCGAAGCCCCCTGGTGAACTGGGTGTTGGCAGTGAAGGCGTGCTGGGGAACGGAGCATATGCCTGTGCACGGTCACAGAAACACACATGTACTGTACACAGCTAAACACTCCTGTGGTAAGGAATCCATGCATGCCAGCTGGAAGAAAAAAAAAAACACTCCACTTATTGGAAGCGGATAAGCTGGGCCCCAAAAAAAGATCAAGATCATGTACTTAAAAAGATGGTTGTTATCCATCTTGTATATTCATATACAGTACTGCTAAGCTGTGGGTGGGTGAGAAGTCCCTGTTAAAATTAAGAAGCACCTCATCCTCTAAAATAAAGTCAGGCTGATTAAAATGTGTCTATACACACGAGAACTGCTTCAGAAAATGTGATAAATTAAACATTACACAGCTCCCAGTGAAGCAGCATAAGGGAAGATGCTGTTTACTTGGGTATGAACGAACACACACACACACACACACACACACACACACACACACACACACACA